ATGCCTCTATGTAGATCCTCACTCTGGGGTTATGGCAGCTTAGGAAACAATCAGACTCCCTGGCCCAGGCCTTTAGGTATGTAGCCTGAATGGGGGGCTGCAGGAGGAAGATGCTGTCAGAAGCAGGAAGAGCAAACTGGCCCAGCTCTGCCCCTCTGGGGGGCTTGGAGACTGCTCTAGGCTGTCAGCTCTTGCCCCACCATGGGAGCAGCCAAGCGGCTTCTGCTTGACTGAACAGAAACCTGGCTGCCCAATGGGACCTCCTGCGGCACAGACCTGATGTGTAACTGGGCAGACTGTGGCAATGTTATTGCCCTAGATGGCCCAGGGGATCTGGCACCATGAGGATTGTGGAGCTTGGACTCTTGCTGTCACTTTGACAGCTGTTTTCCACTCAGCTTATAAGAAGTGGAAGCCTGCAAATCTGCACGACCCCCTGCCCAGGGGTGCCGTGCATCCTAGGCATCCCACCCCTGGACTTTTCCTAGTGGGTATGGGGACAGGGTGAGTTGGCTGTGTCCATCTTCAAGTCACTGAGTGAAATTTCTGTTTTTTATTCTCTGAGAAGATGAATTTGTATGTTCTGAGAATAAATACATAAATATTAAGGTTGTATCTAGTTCTGGTTAAATCCATCTCCCAGGTTCTCTCAGGCACTACAGAGGACAGGATGGCAGCATTGGGCATATGGGATGGCTTGGCAAATGAAATACACCAAGTGAAGAGCCTAGGGACAGCAGGTGGCATGATAGTTAAGGCCATGGATTCCTACATGGCCAACCACAGTTTGAGTCTCAGACTCGGAAGCTTGAAATCATGCCGGATATGGGACTGGCAGTTGGTGTAATGGCTATGTCGCTGGACTCCATGTAGTTGACTGCAGTCCGAGTCCTGGACCCAGCAGCTTAAATTAACTCAAGCCAGGCGTGTGTGCGTGTGGGCCCAAGATCCCTAGAGGAGAATGGAGAAGGGATTGCAGTGTGGCCTTCCCCCTTGGGGAGTGATTTCTTGCTCTCTGTCTGGTCTCTGTCTTTCTGGTGAGTGCATGTGCCCTATAGCAAAAAAAAACTCAAAAAAGAAAGAAAGAAATGCCTGGTACAAGATCCCCAGAAGAGAATAGAGAAGGGACTGAGGTGTGGCCATCCCCTGGGGGTGATTTCTCTATCTCGTTCCAGCAAGTGCTCACGTATTCTATAGCAAAATAAATATATAAAGTTTTTTTAAAAAGAAAGAGACATAGGCTTTTACTAGGAGTTCTCCCAAATGGACTTATATTACACTCTTTATAGTCATTTTTTTGGAGAGGTTTTTGCTATAGGGCGCTTGCGCTCACCAGAGAGAGACAGAAAGTGAGAAATCACCCCCCAGGGGGGATGGCCACGCCACAATCCCTTCTCTATTCTCCTCTCGGGATCTTGGGCACACACGCATACGCACCTGGCGTGAGTTTTAAGCCACCGGGTCCGGGATGCGAACCACGGTTGACTACGTGGGAGTCCAGCGACATAGCCATTACGCTAACTGCTGGTCCCAAGTCCAGAGACCTTGAATAGACCACACATGCACCTGTCCCATCTGTATGCCTGTGTTTTGGGGCTGGCCGAAGCTTGGGCTATGAAGACCCTGTTGGGGGGTGCCTGTCTTGTTGCTTGCTCATGGAAGGAGAAAAAAATGCCAAGGGTTTTGGCTGATAGCCTAAGCCACTCTTTGGTACTTGAGTGGAGATAGAAGAGCCTTAGTAGCAGGACCATAATGGATGGTCCCTCTACTCTAGCTTGTGTAGCTCCTGGACATGTCCTAGACCCCTCTAGGGAGCTTCGCACCATGATGAGAAAGAGCAGTTGTGAGATTTGGGCAGGTGAGGCACAGCGGGAACCACTCTCCTACCCTGCTGCTGTGTGTCCGCTACCAGTCTTTGTACCTTGGGGCTCTAAATGCTGGGTCATTGCTCATGGGCAAGCCTAGTGAAGGAGGGGTGGCCACAGGAGGCATCAAGGGGTGAAGAGCTGGACAGAGTTAGGTGCTGAGGGCCTCAGCCCTGCGGCCCTCACATCCATATGCCCTTCCTTACCCCTTGGGAAGAGCTGGGCAAGTGGAATTGAAGCTGGAGCTACTCCTAGGGCTTTTCTGACCTGCTATCAGGACAGTGCAAAGTGGTGACTAGGCCTCTTCCCCACCTCCCAGAACTAGTCCCTTCTGTGCTGCTGAGTGTCCCTGCAGACACCTGTGTGTTAAGGAGCTGGGTGGAGGTGCCTCCCCCAGCTCCGCCCTTTCCTTTTCCCACTCAGTGGGTCCTTTGAGAGAAGGGAGGTCAGAATATGTCTTTACCTCCCTGAGACTTGGGCCACGTGGTGAGCCTGCTGCCTGAGCCACAGTCATAGAACAAGCCGGAGGGACTGTGCATGGTGTTTATTAGTGATGACAGTGAGGTGGGGCAGGGTCTTGTGGAGCATGCTCTGGAGGTCACACACTAGAGCTGTAAGGCAGGAGTAGCTGGGTAGACAGGGCCTCTGGGGACTGCCCACTGGGTCCTCTCTCTCCCCATCTAACCCTACCCTAACAAGCGGCAGCTAGGAGTCAGGGAACAAAGTCTGGAGCCCATGTCTCCCAGGAGGCATGAGGGACAAGAACTGGAATGACAGGATGCAAGGGCGAAAGAATGAGAGAGGCAAGGAGGCCCCCGAAGCTGTTCCACGCATTCTCTGCTACACGTGCCCTCCCTCCCCAAACCCCCAACCCAGGCTGGTTCCCATCTGCCATTTGGCTCATCTATACGCTGTGGTCTTGTTGGATGTTTGATGCTCCCTGGCAAGGTAAGATCCCTTTCCTCCAAGAGCTGCAGCTGGGACCTCTGCTCCAGCCTAGCCTGCCTGCTGCTCCAGTCTTGTGTGTGGATGCCCACTGCAGCTTTCAGACGGGAGCCACCCTGGTGGGCTTCGGTTGTCTCATTTCTAACATGTGGCAGTGAGGTGAGTGGAGGCCTCAGACCGCAAAACACAGCCCCCGAGTCCCTTGACTATTAGGACCTGTGCCTGCTCAAGGACCTTGTTTCTCCCTCATGCCATACTGCCCATACCCCACCTTCTTGTCACTTTGAGGAGGCATCCCTTCCCTGAGTCTGTGGGAAGGCCCCTACCGAGGGGATCCTGGCCTGAGGGCACTGCCCAATGGGACAGCTTCTTGTGCAGGAGAGGAAGGTGCCAGGGGTGCAGAACACACTGCTAGTACCTGGAATAGGAGCCTAGGGGAGTCACTGTGCCCAGAAGGTGAGGGGGCTCCCTGTTTCTCCCAGAACCTTGGGACTACAGGCAGCCCTAGAGCTGGGGCTGGGCAGGGGGTTGTGGGGGCTGAGCCTAGTGCCAGCCTAATGCCAGTCTACCTCCAACCTGCCTGGAGTGGGCACCCCAGCCAGCTGCGCCTGTGCCTGCCAGGGTAGGGTAGGGCAGCAGGAGGCGGTCAGTAGCTATCCTTGGGCCAAGGCCGGTTGCGCTGCCAGTTCCGGTCATTGTGGTTGTGCTCCGAGTCCTGGGCTAGGAGCCGGTCTTGAGGGTCATGGCCGTTAGCACTAGGCAGCCCCGAGGTGTGTTGGCGGTGAGGCTGGTACAGGTCCTGGTAAGCGTCTGCATAGTCCTCTTCCAGGTGGCGGGAGCTACGCTGTGAGGATCCTGTCCAGGCTTGGCGGGAGCTCTCGCTGGCCTCATCCGAGGGCATCAAGCTGTCCCGCTCCAGGGGTGAGTGCTCCTCACCACGCTCCCCCAGCAGCTGCTGGTTCTGGGGACCACACAACAGCTCTAAGTGAGGCAGCGCACACCTCACCTTGGCCTCCCTCCCACATCTGGTGGGTTGGGGGCTTCTTCCCCCTCAGCTCCCAGTTTCCAGCCACAGGAACAGTGTGAGGAAGAAACATGCACGTGCACTCTTCCTCCTCAGATACAGACACCTGAAGCTCACTCCACAGCAGGCTCTGCCTTCAAGATGACTGGGAGAAAGGTTTGGAGGGTGCGTTTCTCTTGACCCCTAGAAAACTGATCTCTGGTTACCCATCTCATTGATTTATGCCCTCTCTTGTCAGGAAATTCCTCTGTCCATCTGCACTAGCTCTGTACGGCAGAGCTGAGCATTCTGCAGTCCTCTGGCCCAGAGGCCAAATGCAGGCCTCCGGGCAGGGGAGGGGTGGGGCTCTGGTGGCTTAGTCGGAGCATCTGTGCTCACTATAGATGGTTACCTGGAGTCCAGGGATGGCACTGGGAGGGCCCAGAAGTCCAGGGCCAGGGGCTGGGTGGTGGGTGGCCCGCCAGTAAACCTCTAGGTACTCAGCCAGGTGCTCGCAGGCATCCTCCAGCTGGTTCTCATCCAGAATCACATCAAATGACTCCTGCACGGGGAGTGGTGAGGGCAGGATGGTGGCTTTCTCTCTGTAGCAGCACCCCACCCATCCCTGCCACTCGTGCAGCCTGGCAGAAGGACTGCAGGAGTAGCTGATCCTGACACTCACTGGTGGGCACTGAACCAGCTTGTCATACGCCATCATCTGTACAGTCAGGTGCTTCATCTGTGACTTCCCCCGGGAGCGGATGAGCCTCTGGAGTACCTGAGTACAGAGAGAAGGGTGGGCCTGGAAAGCTGCGCATGCCCCCTCCACTCGTGATATGGCATCAGAACAGACAAGGACGACTCAGGATGGCATTAGGGGGCCGCAAAAGAGGAGAATCCTGGGGCCACATTCCAGGAGGGCATCCTGGGGCCTCCACCACTCCTGCTGACTCACCTTGGGTGACGATACTTTGACGAAGACGATGATGGGGGCCAGTGAGGTCTTGGCCAACTGAGCTGGGTGGTTGATGGTGTCAGCATCCAACACTACTAGCTGCAGGGATTTGGCCAACTCGAATATGCGCTCGATCTCACTCTGTACTTCAGCTAGGGGGCGAGGGAGCGGCAATGCTCACCAGGGGTCCACCCACCGCTTCCTCCACCAGGCTGAGGGCTCCCAAAAGGTGGATGGGAAGGAATTGGAGGGAGAGGGTATTCATCACGGCCTGGGCAGGCAGAGGAACAGGGAATTGAGGAGAGTGGGGCGTCTTCTTGCTGATCCTGGGGCAGGTAGACAAGGAACTGGGGACGAGGAGAGGGAGGAAGAAGGGTCTCCCTAGTGCTCAAAGGGGTGGATAAGCAGGAGATGGACTTCTCACCAATGCTGGACCGGGCGGAGGAGCGCTCAATGATAGTCCTCTTGCCGGGATTGTTGAGCACAGATCGCTTTGCCAGAGAGAGGTCAGCTGTGACGCGAGTGATGGAGATCCTGGGGTGGGTGTGGACAATCGGCTCACTTCTAACCCTGAAGCTGAGGCTCTTCTAACCAACTCCCACCGCCTTTAGGGGAAACATACAGCGATCTTCTCTCTAGTTCTCATGCCACCCCAGGTCAGAGTAGCTTACCTGCCATCAAACCTATGTTTGAGGAAGTCAAAGAGAGCCTTCTGCATCATGTCTGTGACCTGGGGGAAGGGCATGGAACCGACTGTGGGTCCTCTTGGAGAAAGGCAGCATCCCCATGCATGGTCCCAGAGCCCACCCCCTACACACAGACCGGGGAGAATGCTCCTTGTTGCTGTCCCTGGGGCTTTCCCCAGTCTTCATAGAGAGAACTCGCTGGGGTTAGGCATCCCCTCTCACCTCATAACCTTTCAGAGAAGGTCCTACCAGCACCACAGGCCGCATGGAGGGTACCACATCATATGGGGGAACATGTTCCGCCTGCAGAATGAACAGTAGTTCAGACACAATTATGGCCCTGGTGCCTGCCTTATGCCTCATTGGTGTGGGGCAGATTTGGAAGTTCTGGGCTCCCTCCCGTCTCTGTTCTGCCCCTCTACCAACATGACTGCCCAGGACACTGTCCCCCAGCCCAGGTCCCTTCCTTAACTCACCTGCTTTTGCTTCTGCTTGGCTTTTTGGAAAAGGAAATAAGAGATTAAAGTTGGTGAAGGGGTAGAAGGCCCTGGGGCCATGGAGCTCCCTTCCCCAGGGGAGACTCTGGGCTTCTCCCAGCTCTGTTAACCCCTCCACCAACCCATTCCCATATACTTGACTTGGGGAGAACCCCTCCTTCCCTCAAGTCTTAGTTACCCACCTACCCAAGATGGGTGGGCTGGGGGGGGGGGAGCTCACAC